AGCCTCTACTCAGCCTGAATCCTGTACGCAGCCTGATGCCTCTCTTCTGCCTGAGGCCTCTACTCGGCCTGAAGCCTCTACTCGGCCTGAAGCCTCTACTCGGCCTGAAGCCTCTACTCGGCCTGAAGCCTCTACTCGGCCTGAAGCCTCTACTCGGCCTGAAGCCTCTACTCGGCCTGAAGCCTCTACTCAGCTGGACGCCGGCATTCAGCCTTATGCCTCTACCCAGCATGATGAACTGATCCAGCCTGACGATCCTATTAGGCCAGTTGACTCGATGCCCGCTGTTGATCCAGATGATCCGGTACCTGATCCGGTGCCCGCTATCGTGCCAATTGACTCAGAGCCCGCTGTCGTACCTGGTGACTCGGTGCCCACTGCCTTGCCAAATGACGCGGTGCCCGCTGGCGAGCCAAATGACCTGATGCCTGGTGACCCAGGGCCCGCTGTCATACCTGGTGACCCGATGCCCGCTGTCGAGCCAAATGACCTGATGCCTGGTGACCCAGTGCCCGCTGTCATACCTGGTGACCCGATGCCCGCTGTCGAGCCAGACAATCCGGTACCTGATGACCCGGTGCCCACTGTCGTGCCTGTTGACTCGGAGCCCACTGCCTTGCCAGATGACGCGGTGCTCGCTGTCGAGCCAGACGATCCAATGTCTGACCCAGTGCCAGCGGTCATGCCAGTTGACTCGGAGCCCACTGTCGTGCCTGGTGACTCGGTGCCCGCCGCTTCGCCTGGGGGCCCGAGACCTGTCGCTCCGCCTGGGGGTCCGGCGCCCGCCGCCCCACCTGGGGGCCCGAGACCTGTCGCTCCGCCTGGGGTTCCGGTGCCCGCCGCTCCGCCTGAGGGCCCGAGACCTGTCGCTCCGCCTGGGGGGTCCGGCGCCCGCCGCTCCGCCTGAGGGCCCGAGACCTGTCGCTCCGCCTGGGGGTCCGGCGCCCGCCGCTCCGCCTGGGGGCCCGAGACCTGTCGCTCCGCCTGGGGGTCCGGCGCCCGCCGCTCCGCCTGAGGGCCCGAGACCTGTTGCTCCGCCTGGGGGTCCGGCGCCCGCCGTTCCGCCTGAGGGCCCGAGACCTGTCGCCCCGCCTGGGGGCCCGATGCCCGTCGCCCCGCCCGGGGGCCCGGTGCCCCGCTGCCTGCTGCTCCGCCCGGGGGCCCGGTGCCCCGCTGCTTCGCCTGGTAATCCGATGTGCCACTGCCCGGAGTCCTGCCCGATGTGCCTCTGCCCGGAGTCCTGCCCGATGTGCCTCTGCCCGGAGTCCAGCCCGATGTGCCTCTGCCCGGAGTCCAGCCCGATGTGCCTCTGCCCGGAGTCCAGCCCGATGTGCCTCTGCCCGGAGTCTAGCCCGATGTGCCTCTGCCCGGTGTGCCTCTGCCCGGAGTCCAGCCCGATGTGCCTCTGCCCGGAGTCCAGCCCGATGTGCCTCTGCCCGGAGTCCAGCCCGATGTGCCTCTGCCCGGAGTCCAGCCCGATGTGCCTCTGCCCGGAGTCCAGCCCGATGTGCCTCTGCCCGGAGTCCAGCCCGATGTGCCAGTCTTTGATATCCCGCCAGTTACCAGACCCGGGCGGTGGAACATTTTGCCCAGCTAGGACTGTTTGGAGCGTCCTGAGGCCGCTCCTTGAGGGGGGGGGTACTGTCAGGAATGGACTGGCCAGCAATAGTGGGACTCACCTGCCTTTTGATCTGCAGTACCAGGGCTGGCCAGCGGGTGCTCCCAGCAATCAGAGACTCAACCTTTCAGCCAGCTAACACCTGGAACTGATGATACTGGTGTATTTAAGGGATGGCCAGACTTGCAGACTCTGCCTTGGTGTTGTGTTTGTCCTGGGCCCTGTATCTGTCCTGCATCCTGTTTCTGTTCCTTTGCTGACCCTGCCTGATCTGAACCGCTGCTGACTTCTCCTGCTCTGATCCCGGCTCGCTCCTGACCATCCCTCTGCCTGACCCTCTGTACCACGCTGCTTGCTACCTGTTCTGATCCCTGGCTTGTGACCCTGACCATCCCTCTGCCTGACCCTCTGTACCACGCTGCTAGCTACCTGCTGAACCTGGCCTGTGACCCCGACCCATCTCCGCTTGCTCCCCCTGTACCTACCTGCCCTATTGATATTGACCCGGCCTGCCTGACGACGCTTGCTTGTATGTACTGTTATCAGTGGGTGGTTGGTTTGGTTTGTTTGGACTGTATTATGTTTTAGTATTGCACTGCGTTTATGTTTGTATTGTTAGTGTTAATAAATTATATTGTTTATCACATATCTGAAGTCTGCGTTTCCCTGCGTCAGTCACACACCTCTGGTCACACCTGGGAGCCCTGACAAGTGGAATGTTATGCAATGGCCAAGTCAATCACCTGACCTGAATCCGATTGAGCATGCATTTCACTTGCTGAAGGCAAAACTGAAGGGAAAATGCCCAAAGAACAAGCAGGAACTGAAGACAGTTGCAGTAGAGGCCTGGCAGAGCATCACCAGGGATGAAACCCAGCGTCTGGTGATGTCTATGTGTTTCAGACTTCAGGCTATAATTGACTGCAAAGGATTTGCAACCAAGTATTAAAAAGTGAAAGCTTGATTTATGATTATTATTCTGTCCCATTACTTTTGGTCCCTTAACAAGTGGGAGGCACATATGCAAACTGTTGTAATTCCTACACCGTTCATCTGATTTGGATGTAAAATACCTTCAAATTAAAGCTGACAGTCTGCAGTTAAAGCACATCGTGTTCATTTCTTTTCAAATCCATTGTGGTGGTGTATAGAGCCAAAAATGTTAGAATTGTGTTGATGTCCCAATATTTATGGACCTGACTGTATGCCCCTCTCACCCAACCCCCTCAAACTTTCCTTGCAGCCAACTTCCCATCACGAGTCCTGGATGGGAAGGGTGGCAGGGTCTCTTTAATCAAGCATTTCCTAATCTTGGTAATAAGTTTGCACAATACTGTAACTACCAATAACAAAAGAGCTGAAATGTAGAAATCCTCGTTGCATTGATCACCAATTGTTATCTACCAAAGTATTAGGCATACCACTTGTATTGAACTTGTAACTTTTAGCCAGTAAGTGACTTCTTGACCTTGGCAGATAGAGAAAATCTTTAACCCATTTTTAGAACCACTTCCTCATGAAAGCTTTAGCATCCTCTTCTGCCCAAGCTCTTTCACCACTCTTTTTCTGGGGAATAATTTCAAAATCTAAAATGTATAGCTGTGATCCCCCATTCGCAAGTAGTGATAACAGTCACAAACCACCAGTGCTCTAAAGCAGATATACTAGAATTACTGTAATAAATGAAAATTGTATTATAGGAGACTGTATATCAGATACATTTATGGACAATGATATATTAATATGTAAATTTTAGTGTAGCAAGTATTTGCCTTTCAAATGTATCTGACATATACATACTTCCTTTTGTAGTCTGGCAGAATCTGATCAAGATCAGTTTGATTGGCTGCATTGAAGGGCAGAGGAAAGATCTGGGGTATACTAGATATATATTTAGTTTCTTTCAGACGTCACACAGTGGGAGGAATAACATCTATTCCTCTCTCTGTGTCCCAGGAACCTGATGTTGTTGGTCGCAACCTTACCAGGCTTCCTGATCGCACAGGAAAGCCTAATAAAGGCAGAGGGACCCCCTTCCGCCACTTGTAAAATTAATCCAGTGGCTTAATAACCAATAGGATTTACCTTGTGCAAAAATCGCTGGGGCTGAAAAGTAATGTCTCACTCATTGCTGCAGCGATGACCTAAATATCACTCTTCCAATTCAGCGATGTACTGGTAATTTGCTGGACAGAAAGAGGTTAGAAAAGGACAACGGTCTTACCCTGCACTTTCTTAAAGTCTCTTAAAGTGCAATTATACATTTGCAGCCAAAATTGGGATAACACCTTCAAATAGTGGTCACACAAACCCTTTCACATAGCATAGTTTTATGTCGGCTTACATTTTATTTGCTGAAAAATCCTATCAAAAAAAAAAAAAAGAGAAAACCCTTACCTAGCTTTTTCCCTTCTATGCAGTGTTAGAAAGGGGCCTGGGGAGGTATGTTCCTGTATGTACTGTACGATTTTCATTTTCAGTGGTAAACTAAAATGTACATTCCATCCTAACAATGTTAAAAATAAGGACCTGGGTGGTACATTGTATATTATGTTTGTCATACACCGGTTTATTTCTAGTTCAGCTCACAGGCTGAATAAAAAAAAAAAATACATTAGTTAATTTACAAAACATTACCCTATTCGTGCTATACAGCACGGATGGATAAACCGTGCTGCAGGGCTATTGCATTCTGACCATTGCCATCAGCATCAAAATACCTGAGCAGCAGCTGCATCTGACTTGATGTAGCAGCTGATTGGCTGACAATTTTTCTGCCCAACTTCTTTGATTTTTCAATTCAAGAATGCGGGGCAGGAAGGAGCGGACAGGGCCACCCACTGAGTGAATTTCACCTGGTTGATCAAGACCTGGCTGAAATATACACAGCGTATGGCCAGCTTTAATGCACCTTTTTAATACACTGTCCCTATAGAGTAATATACAGCAAAATAGTATGAATAATTCAAGCTGCTTATTATAGTCCTGTGTATAACCATGCTCTAAAAAATGCAACTAGAATGGAAAGAAAATATTTTAGGCATGTTGTGTGAATAGGAACACAAACATACAGAAGCATATGAAAATCAGTTTCAAATGCATAGAAATGGGTGGTAAAATACATGCAATAACAGGCACTGCTGCAAGTGTACAGGATAGAACTGACCCCTCCCCCCTTTTTTTTAATAAATAAATGGATTATAGAGTGCTTATTTAATTATTTTCATGGATGTCTGTTGTCAGAGGTAATATAAGACGACCAAATAGTAAAACCGTAAAATACTTTGTAGTATGCACATTTTAAGAGTTTGACAGTAGAACACTAACAGAAGGGTGCAAGTGGCTTTAGATCTTCAAAGAATAATATACTTCTTGCACTCACCTAACGAAAATGAGCAAAGCAATAAGCATAGAGCAAATAGGATCTGCAATCATCCATCCGTAGTGCTGCATTAGAAGTGTAGAGATGATCACCCCTATGCTGCCCAGTGTGTCTGCAACAATGTGCAAAAATACACCTGAAAAAAAAAAAAAAAAGTTTCATAAAACAAAGCTGCAATGTTATAAGGTGCTATATCACTGACAAAAGGCATCATTTAAATCACGGTGTTAAAATGGTTACTGGTCACAGTAGAGATTATTCAAATTCTATTGCGCACTTGCTTAGTATAACAAATATTAATTGCTGAATTGATACCCAAAACACACTTTAGCCATTCATCAGAAATACTACTTCAATAATACTAATGCTTTTCTGCCACCTGCTGGCAACATTATAGAATAGATATGGTGAACCGTGGAACCCCACATTAAAAAAAAAAAAAAAAAATCAAACAAACAAGAAAGCCGACTTCTTTGCTTAGATCAACATTAACCCAGCTCTTTGCTGTTTCGTTCTTTTCAATTCCCTCTGTTCAGCCTTATTCAACCTTGGTTTCCCTATTAAGCTCATAAAATTACTGTTGGAACCAAAACCATTACATTTAAAACTTGTGCACCACTGGTTTGACATGTCAGTGCTAAAATGATGCAACAAAAATCACATGTAGGTAAAGTTAACACCTACCTTCTAAAATCTGCTTGCTAGACCCTCTAGTCTCCAAAGGAGGTTCATCTGGAATTTGGAAAAATACACATATGGTTTGTATATTAGTCACAGCGCAGGGAAATTTGTATCTTAAAAAAAAACAAAACAAAAAAAAAAAAAAAAACCATGCACAGCAGTCACCCTGTGTAGTACTCCTTGTGAGCCATGACTGATGCAATTTTACAAGAAATCGAAAACTCCAATAGAAATGCAAATCGAATACATTCAAGGTTCATCTTAGGATTAAGCCACTATGCTCGGCCAAGGAGTATGAATACAGATACTATGTTAAGAGCGGGGGTAATAAATAGTGACAGTATTGGAAAAACAGGCAATATATGGGGTAAATAAGGCTGCATTCACATTGCAGGTTTATAAAATGCTACAAAACACTATAATGGAACAGAAAGAAAGGCATTAAAGAAGTAGAATTACATTTTTTATTTCACTATTCTGTCCCCTATGGTATAAAGTATATGTAATACTATGTTCTAGCTCTGAGGAAGAAGGGATCTCCCTTCAAAACGCGTCAACTTCACTCTGAGAGTCTCCCCTCTTGGTGGGATTCGCACATGCCGGCTACTCCAGTGTTCCGATTTTGGATTTTATATGCCTTATATACTGCCACTTGTGTGAGTTTACATCTTATTTCAATAAAATTACCGTATTTTCCGGCGTATAAGGCAACTGGGTGTATAAGACGACCCCCTAATTTTCCAGTTAAAACATAGCTTTTGGGCTATACTCGTCGTATAAGACTACCCCCCTTCTGAGGCAACACCATTTAACCCCTAGCCTACAGGGCACTTATACCCACTTTCTCCCCAGGCCAATTTTCAGCTTTCAGCGCTGTCACACTTTGAATGACAATTGCGCGGTCATGCAACACTGTAACCATATGAAATAGGTGGCACTGATGGGCACTGATGAGGAGGCACTGGTAGGTGGCACTGATGGGCATTGACAGGCATCACTGATGGGCACTGAAAGGCAGCACTGATACATGGCACTGATGGACATCACTGACTGGCACTGATAGGCAGCACTGACTGGCACTAATAGGTGGCACTGATTGGCAGCACTGATAGGTGGCACTGACTGGCACTGATGTGACACTGAAAGTCAGCTCAGATGGGCACTGATACGTGGCATTGATGGACACTGACAGCTGGCACTGCTGGGGCTACACTGATCATCAGGGCACACTGATCATCAGTGCCCTGATGATCAGTGTACATGTCCCCTCCGCAGAAAGCCGATTACCGGCCCTCCTCTCCTCTCGAGCTGTCAGCGTGACAGCTTGAGAGGAGAGAAATGCCGATAACCGGCATTTCCCTGTTTACATGTGATCAGCCGAGCCGACATCTTCGGCTCTTTCCGTGATAGCTGTGTCCGAGGGACACAGCGCATCGCCGCTCATGCGCGGAGAATGGGAGGACGTGATATGAGCCAATCACGGCAAGTGATGTATTCTATTAATGAATACAGAGCCTGCTCGGATTGGCTGTGTCAGAGAGGCGGGCTGATGTTGCAACTTCAGCCAATCCGAGCAGGCTCTGTATTTATTAATAGAATACATCGCTCGCCGTGGTTGGCTCAGCGTGTACAGTATGTACCTACCATACAGTATTACCGCACATCCAGCGTATAAGACGACCCCCAATTGTTGGGGTATGTTTTTAAGTAAAAAAGTTGTCTTATACGCCGGAAAATACGGTACACCTAATGTGCAAAGTTGGTGTGCGGTTATTGTTCTTCATTGTATACTATGAAGTATGTTGCTAGGTTGCATCCCAAGTGTAGTTAGGATTTCAAACTTCCCCACAGCCGGTCTGACAACATAACATGTCACGTACATTAAACTGCACAGGCTGTTCATTTCTTTAATGTAGTACTAAGCAAACACAAATAAACTGCAAACTAAAAATGAGATGCAAAATTCAAGAGGCCGACACTTATTTTAACATACCACAGGAGCCAAAATGGTGTCCATGTTTATGGCTATGTCCATGCTCATGCTCATGTCCATGTCCATGCTCACTTCCATGGCTGTGACCATGACTATGCCCATGACCCCCACTATGGCTGTGTCCATGGCTTAAGGAGCCATTAAATAACGAATGACTGTGTCCATGACCTGGAAAAAAGGAAAAGTGAAATAGGTATTGGTTATGTTTTTTTACTGGTTATAATTTTTCATGCATATAATTCAGTCATCCATAAACTGAACTTATTAAACAACTGTTAATCGATCCATAACAATAGAGAAAAAAAACAAAACAATGCCCCAAATCAAAAAAGATAAGAAATGCATCAACTTTTTTAATGTGAATTTCACTTTCATATCATTCAATGCTTAGCCTTTACATCATTTCGTAAAGAGAAACACTGCTGCTGCTAGGGGAATCAGCTCACAGACACGTCTGTCATTTCATAGCTTTATCAAACTGGTCACTCTGATACAAGTATACAAAAATGAAGTCCACAAGTGGAGATGAGACCACGGGGGGTTATTGAAGATATCACATTAAGGGCTCATTGTTGATTATAAATGAACATTAAAGAATCTAAAATTTATGATTTTTTTGAAGTGTTGAAATGTCCATGAAAGTTGTTTTTCTAGTGAGAAGTGCTTAAAGGAAAACTAATGTAGAGGAAATTATCTTCTTTAATGCACGGTTTGCAGTGTGATAGCAGGTGTTTTAGTGGATTTGTACATCTTTGACACTTGGCTTGGTCCAGCTCAACTTTACTGGAACAAAAAGCTTTGCCACCGGCAAGAATACCCAATGCCTCTGCTCCTACCTGGCACTGGCAGTATTGCTGGCTGGCTTGATGCTTTTGCCTGCACGCAGAAGCAAAATGATGCTCTATACAAAGTGGCTGGAGCTGTTCTGTATTATTTATAAATCAACATGCTACTTAAAGGGTTTTTTTTTTAGTTCAATGCATTTCTCTGCAAAAAACCTTTTACATGTAGCTCCCCCAGCAGTCCTTCCAAATACTGACCTGAGCTCGATCTCGGTCCAGTGCTGTTCACATCTCTTCTATATCAGCTCTCACAGGCTTGGCTGAGCGCAGCAGGAGCCATTGGTTCCTTCTTCTGTCAGTCAAAACCTTTGAGCAGAGAGTCGGGGGACAGGGCTAACCCAGGCTGTGTCTAAATAGACGTAGCAGCCTGGCTCAGGAGTGAGCCCGGATGAGTGACCACAATAGGAAGAGGCTTACTATGGTGGGCACTCTGTGGAAAGGGGGGGGGGGGGGGGGGGGGGGGGGGGGGTTGTTGAGGGAGAAGCCAAAAGGGGACCCTAGAGGAGGAGGATCAGGCTGCTCTATTTTAATAGATGGGGGGGGGGCAAAAAAAAAAAAAAAAAAAAAAAAAAGGAAGCTTTAGTACAGCTTTAGTTTTTAACACAATGCTACCGCTTCTGTGGTAACCACTATTTGGCAGGTGTTGGGTGGTTATAAGGCTTTAAAAATGCTGAATAAATAGAGCCTAAACATAGGGTTTGATTTACTAAAGACAAAACAGACATAAGTGCGGTTGAACTCTGCAAGGAAATTTGCTCCAGAGCTTAATATACAAGATGAAGCTTCACTTTACAAAGAATAACCAATCACATGAAAGGAAAATAAAAGGCGTTTTTGCTTGCACACAATTGGATGATGGAAGTCAGAAGCGCTTCACCTCATTTACAAAGCTCTGGAACTTTCCTTTGCAAAGTGCACAGCCTATTTGTCTTTAGTAAATCAACACCAGAGAATCGACGCATGTGTAAACAAGCCCTAACAGTGATCAGAAATGCCTTGATGCATTTCACACTGCAGCTCTCAGACATAAAACTAGAGTCCTATGACACCCTGCACAACATAATACAGACAGTGGCTGTGCGTCATAGGACGTTTAGTAAATGCAGATGCAAAACAGCTCTTTGTACACATAGTCCCCTCCACACCTTTTCCATTTGCCGGTTATAGCCGTTATCGGTTTCTTTCGGTACTCTGACCCAAGAATAACCTTACTTCTAAACAGAGTAGAAGTGGGTAGATTTATTCTGAACTCTCTGTCTTTGTTTCCAATGCTCACAAGCAATCGAGTTTTCAAAAAAATTTTCAACTGCATCATGCTACAAAACAGGTTGTGTTAATTATGCTACACATTTTTACCTCCTTCATGTGAATGGCCATGGTGATTTCCACCATGTTGGAATACAAATATTCCAATGACATTTACTAGGAATCCAAGGATGGACACAGGAAGCAGCCGTTCATGATGGACCTCTGGGGTATCCAAAGCTCGCTAAACAAAAACAGAACAGGACATTTATATCACACCTAAACAAATCCTGGTTGCAAAGAAACTGTATACTGAATTGTAAAGGGTTATAAAGAGCAGCACGAAAACACTTTGTTGATCCCTATTGAAAGCCCAACTCCAGGTTCTCATCTCATCCAGAGCAACTTTTTATATTTTTTTCTATTTACCTTTTTCAGAGATCTTCAAGCCAGTTACATGACATTAGGAGGCTTTCATTGTGTACATTCCTCAGGTAGTGGGCAGTCCCCAATGGTGCAAAGAGTGTTGCCGATGTAATTCTGTCAGCATCACTCTATGCATCATAACACTGAGTAGGTTACACCCTGGTGCCGCCCTGATAAGTGGCTCCATGAAAACCTGTACTCCGTGTGTCCTCAGTTTTCCAAGACTTCACTGTCATTATTCAGCGGAGAACATTCAGTGGTGGAATGAAAAACAAATGTGAGCATGTTAGCTATAATAGCTTCTCAAGCATGCTTCAACTTCAACAATGTCAAATAAAGTCTTTTGTATATGACTTTCAAATCTATTAGTATTTAAAACAAAACCCACTTCAAAAAGGATGTATACATACATCTCGGACACCTGTGATAATTAGATTGGCCGGTGAGCCCAATTTAAGGAAAAACTACTAAAGGAGGGTGTTCCACAATATTAAAGCAGAACACCATTTTCAAGCAATATGGGGAAGAAAAAGGATCTCTGCTGCCGAACAGAGTGAAATAGTTCAATGCCTTGGACGAGGTGTGAAAACAGATATTTCACGCACTATTAAGCGATTTGTTGCTGATTCAGAGCACAGACGGGTTCGTGCAGATAAAGGCACATTGAGGAAGATTTCTGCCAGATCCATGCATCGGATCAAGACAGCAGCTGCTAAAATACCATTACATAGCAGCAAACAAATATTTGAAGTGGCTGGTGCCTCTAGAGTCCCACGGACATCAAGGTGTAGAGTCCTCCAGAGTCTTGCAACTGTGCATAAACCTTCTATTCGGCCACCACTAACCAAAGTTCACAAGCAGAAACGGCTGCATTGGTCAGAAAAATACATGAAGACTAATTTTCAAACAGTCCTGTTCACTGAGTGTCGTGCAACCCTGGATGGTCCAGATGGATGAAGTAGTGGATGGTTGGTGGACAGCCACCCTGTTCCAACAAGGCTGCGACGTCAGCAAGGCGGTGGTGGAGTCATGTTTTGGGCCGGAATCATGGGAACAGAGCTGGTCGGCCCCTTTAGGGTCCCCAAAGGTGTAAAGATGACCTCTGCAAAATATGTGGAGTATATGGCTGACCACTTTCTTCCCTGGTACAGAAGGAAGAACTAAGCTTTCCGTAATATAATCATCTTCATGCATGACAATGCACCATCTCATGCTGCAAAGAATACCTCTGCATCAATGGCTGTTATGGGGATAAAAGGAGAGAAAGTCATGGTGTGGCCTCCATCCTCCCCTGACCTCAATCCTATTGAGAACCTTTGGAGCATACTCAAGCAAAAGATCTATGAGGGTGGGAGGCAGTTTACATCCAAACAGCAGCTCTGGGAGGCTATTCTGACATCTTGCAAACAAATTCAAGCAGAAACTGTCCAAAAAATCACAAGCTCAATGGATGCAGGACTTGTGAAGCTGCTATCAAATAAGGGGTCCTATGTTAAAATGTAACGTGACCTGTTAAAATGTTTAAAAAGTTAAAAATGTTGTTAAAAGTTTGATTGAAATAGCTTTTGATTTCAGTAAATATGCTGCAAACACAACAAATGACAATTTTCAGTTCTTTACAACCTATAAAGTGTTTTGAAACTTACTGTGCGTAATAATTTGGAACAGTGCATTGTAAGTTTATGTTTAAAAAAATACTGTTATCATTAGGAGGTTTGTTCAATAAAATATGAATTGTACTCTTAATAGTTGATAACAGTCAGCATAATTCTCATGTTATTTACATCTATTAATTTAGGTAAATGAGAAAAATATCATTTGCATAAAAAATTTGGAACAGGGTATAATATCGAACTGCAAGTTTCAATGAGTTGACCGGTTCAGGCAGCACACTAATGTAACTGATGAGAGAAGAGAAAGAAAAGGAAGAATTTTGAATTGTAGTTTAAAAATGAGGTTTTTAAGAAATTAACCACTTGCCCTCCAGAGGATTTACCCACCTTCCTCACCAGGCCATTTTTTAAGATATGGCGCTGTGTTACCGACAATTGCACGGTCATGCAATGCTATACATAAATGAAATGTATTTTCTTTTTTTCCCCACAAATGGAGCTTTTGGTTGTATTTGATCACCTCCACTGTTTTTATTCTTTGCGTAAAAAAAAAGATTTTTTTTTTTACTTTTTGATATAAAATATATCCAGTAGAAAACAAATTAAAAAAATCAAGTATCTTCATAAATTTAGGCCAAAATGTATTCTGGTACATATCTTTGCTAAAAAAAAAAAAAATCCCAATACGTTTAAATTAATTGGTTTACGTGAAAGTTATAGCATCTACAAATGCCGGTGTATATACTGGAATTTTTTTTTATTTTTTTTTTAATACTAATGGCAGCGATCAGCGACTTATAGTGGGTCTGCGATGGGCATTCTGACACTGGGTGGGAACGGACTACCTGCCACTGATCTCTCCAGTGACACTAACACAGTGATCAGTGCTAATAAAAAGCATTGACATGATACTAATGACAGTGGGCAGGAAGAGGTTAACATCTGGGGCGATCAAAGGGTTACCCGTGTGCGTTTTACTGGGTGTTGTGTTTCACTACAGAGGCATGCTGTTTTGTAGGTCTCTGCTGTGCAGAGAGATACAAAAGAGCATGTCTGTGCTGACAGGAGAGAGACCCATGTTTACAACTGTCGGCTTTCCCCAACAATTGCCGAGTGCCGGCCGGGAATCATCAGCCGGGACCCGGTGATTGACATCCCTAGCCACCAATAGCGGCACGGGTAGGGTGGCGCACATGTCCAATACACAGAAATGCAAATCACACACACACACACACACACACACACACACACATACATATATACACACACATACATATATACACACACACACACACACACACACGATTGTGCGCAGCCCTGCCACCCTCTAGCAGTATTTCTGCTATAGGGCGACGAGAAAATGGTTAAATGCAGCCTCCCCACTAGGACCTCAGTTCATGCATTAGCACCTCCAGTCACCTGGGGAGAAACAAAATGGGAAAAACCACCGGAGAAAAAAAAAAAAAAAAAAAGTCAGCAAACAGGACAATGGGTGGGTAACTGGCACTGTCCTGAAAGACTCCTGGAAAAGGAGTTACCGGAAAGTGTAACTGTGATTTTCTCCCTAACGTCTTTCAGGACAGCATCTTTGAGAGGATAATCGAGCACTTATCCCTAGGGCAGAACCTTGCGCCTGAAGGCCTACTCTTTTACCGAGACCAAATCAAGCCTGTAATGCTAAACAAAGGTGTTGATATTGGACCAAGTTGCTGCTCTGCATATCTGTCCAGGCGTAGCACCAGTCATATCTGCATACGTAGCCACCATAGCCCGAGTAGAATGTGCCATAATGCCCTCTGGAAATTCCAGCTCTTCTACCAGATACACAGGTCTAATGGCCAACTTCAGCCACCTAGCCAAGGTGCGACTAGAGGCCTTACAACCCTGTCTCGACCCCAAAAATAACACAAAAAGGTAATCTGACTTCCTTATATCCTTTGTCCTATCTACATAATGAAGGCTACACCTTTTAACATCCAACGTGTTAAATTTCCTTTCCTGGTCACACGAAGGATTAGAACAAGTTAATTTCTTGGCCCCAATGAAAACTTGAGGCCACCTTAAGTTTAATAAAAAAATTTTTTAAAAAAAAAGCCGTTCTGAACGTTACCTGGTCTGAAAAAAAAAATCTGAAGGAAGGGAGCTCCCCAAAGTCCTGGTCCTGGAAGGCCGAGAGGGCCCGTATCACCGCCTTCAGCCACGCACACAGAAGTCCGGCCCCCAACCAGAAATGACATCCCCTGCCATCCAGCCTGGCGAATGCTCCACTGCTTACACGGAGCAGCAGTGCCCCTCCTGTTGACTCCCCTGAGTCTGTGAACAGCAGGCTCCTGGCAACTCCTGTCCTCCCCAGGTGGAAGCCAGGATGGAGCACAAGAGGTAATGGAACCTCGCCTTCTGCCCCCAGAAGACCGAACCAGGCCCCCTTCTCCCAACAATATTGAGGGGAGAACCTGTAGCCACAACACCCCGGCTCCCTCCCCTCCCAGTAGCTCCCCTGAGAACGGCTTCCACCCATGTTTCCCCGCCAGAGGAAGCATCATTACTGAGGTCCTAGTGGGCAGGCTATGTTTAAATCTGAGTGGAGGTGGCGTTTCCTCAGGTGGAGAGGAGGCAAGGTCTCTCAAGCGTGCTGTCCTGAAAGAAATTAAAAGGGAAAAAACCTTCTGCCTTTAGAACCACTTTAAAACACATGCAGCCATTATCAGCGCTGCATAAACTGTATGTAGCTTCAGCTACATACAGTAATGTGTTCTAGCAGTGGGACAGAGACTTTCCGTCTAGCTCCGAAAACAAAACAGTTGGGCTAAGTGCTGCTCAGTCATTCACAGAAGCATTGCATTTTCTGAATGCATACAAAGCTTCTTCTGATTGGATGAGGTGGACAGATAATGTCAAGATATCCACCTCAACCAATCCTGTAAATGGATTCTTGTAAGCAGTGCTCAACTCGATTTTGTTCCAAGAACAGGGTGGCAAGTCCCCATTCTACTGCTGGGAACACACTGAAGCTACATACAGTTTATACAGCACTGACAGCCACTGCATCTCATAGTAAAGGAAATAGCTCTTTTGGATCAGCTTGGTCCAAACAAACTGGAGTTAGGCTTTAAATAATCCAGATAAATAACTGCTAATCTGAGCTCAACATACCTCCACCCCTTCTGAGAAGATGAAAAATGCTGTGAAGATCAGGAAAAGACCATTCACAAAACCTGCCAGGACCTCTGCCCGGACGTACCTGTAAGAAAACCACAGAGCTATGAAATACTTGTATACTTTAACATTAAAGCATTACTCTCAAAACTAATACATTGAGGATTGATTTACTAAAAAGGAGTATAAGCTGTTCACTTATCCTCCTACATAAGTTGTAACCGTTTGTCTGCAGTCTTCTCTTTTCTAGAGCCGTTCAAAGTGCAGAATTTATAAAGCTTGTCCTAGAGTTCCCGAAAAAAGGGGGCAGAGAGCTTAAGTTACTGAGCTATGCAGAGTGTGAGGAGAGTTCTGAGATATAGCTGAAGACACAACCCCTCCATAGAGCTAACAGAACAGAGCTAAGGCTGTCACCATTTTTTTCTTGGTGTCTGAAAAACTTGTCAGAAGTGGCTTATGCTGATAACAGAGGAACAAGGCACCAGAAAGAAATGACACTTAGTGCTGTTAATTGAGACAAGCACACCACTATAGGGGGATATTCCGTATTCATATTTCATGCCTAAAGTTCATAGCCACTTTAAGTTCAAGTATTCCAAGCTGGCCCAATCAATTTCCACTACTAAACAATGTGGCAAACGTGCGCTATAATAAACTGTAGTAGCTTTAGCTACATACAGTGAGCAGCTCTGTATTGGCAGCCCTCTGTCTAGAAGTAAAAAGCGTAGGGCTGATTTCCCCCCTCCCCCCCAATTCTTTGCCTTTTCAATTTTGATTACTCTAGTTCCAGTGTGGAGACTTTAAAAGGGTAACACCACTTTCGTGGGGAAAAGAAAATATATAGAATATGCAACTGTGACACAAGTCATATAGTAATTGAATGCCACTAAAAATGACCTTCCCTTTTCAATTTGCAGTGCTGAAATTTTCTGTAAAATGCAATATGGCAGCCTAGAGGCATTTCGTACACCGTTCGTGTACAGAACACCCCCCAGCAAGGTCATTTCCTGCTTGTGTAATTGGCTGATTGCCCCAGAAGTGTGCAGTAAGATATGTCAGATTTTTGGCATCCCCTGCAACAAAAATGTCATTTTTGGTGGGATACTCCCAAAGGGAAATCATGTCTAAAAAGGAATAGACTCTCGCACTTTCCTCTTGAGAGCCTTGAGGGGCAGCAGCTGACTGATAATTATAAAATCACTCCCATACAGATTCATTCTGCACATGGACAAAAACGGTTATTTCTTCAGAATTACAAAATGTAGAAATCTGCTACACAGTTTGTTGAAATCCTTGTAATGTACATAGATCACTCAGAGGGAAATGTTTTTTTTCCTTAACAAAAGTGGAGTTACTCTTTAAAGGATGTCTAGGTTATACTCATGTGAAAAGGAGTAGAAGTTGAAAACCCTGAATTTCAGACTTGGGCTGAGTGCTTCTCTGCCATTTGGGAGAAGCCTTGTATTTATGTCAATGAACAACAAGGCTCTCTCTGATTGAAGCTGCCTGTACTGCTGTCAGAACAGAGCACCACTTACTGTATGTAGCTAATGCTACTACAGTAGATTATAGCACACGCAGCAGCTGCATCAATCTGTAATATTTGGCACAAAGGAACTTTTTAAAGTGACAAGACACCTGGAATGAAATACAATCCAATAACAATCTCATCATTCAAACACAGTGGAAGCAGATACACTTTTAGACACAGCAAGTAAATGAAGTAAATGCTGACCCCAGCTATTGCCTGCAAAAAGATGGATCTGTTCTTCTAGAAAGAGTAGCAGATAAAGGTATTGTAAGGGGGAGCACTGTCGTCTCTGGTTTGGATATTACACTTACACATCACTGGGTATATATGCACTTAAAATGAAATGTATATCTCACAAGTCCACTTTAACCACCCTATAGCAGATATACTGCTACAGGGCGGCACCTGTGCCCAGAATCACGTATATATACACACAAGTGATTTTCCATCTTTGGGTAGGGGGCATGCGAGAGCCGCGCGCCCTACCCGTGCCACAGATGTCAATCACCGGGTCCCGGCCGGTAATTACCCGCCGGCGCCCGCACCAACGGAAACAAAGATTGTTTGTTTACAATCTTCCTCCCTGTCAGCTCAAGCACACGGCTCTGGATGGCTGTGCACAGTACAGCCAATCCCGATCAGTGAGCTCACAGTGAAGAACACACCCCCTATCCCCTAGTAAAACACTCCCAGCACACAGTTAACCCTCTGGATCGCCCCTCACATTAACCCCTTCCTGCCCAGTGCCATTAGTACAGTGTCAGTTTTTTTTTTTTTTTTTAAAGCAGTGATCACTGTATTGTGTCAGTGACACCAAGTTAGTTCCCCCCAGTGTCCACCGCAGTCCCGCTAAAAGTTTCTGATCACCACCATTACTAGTAGAAAAAAAAAATCCCATTATCTATACCACCATTAGTAAACGCTATAACTTTCATGTAAATCAATTAATTTACACGCATTGGGATTTTTTTTTATTAGCAACGACATGTTGCAGAATACATTTTGGCCTAAATTTATGACAAAATTTGATTTTTACATTTATTTTACTGGACATGTTGAATAGCAAAAAGTCAAAAATATTGTTGTTTTCTCAAAATTGTCAGTCTTTTCACGCTTATAGTGCAAAAAAAATAAAAAAAATGCACAGGCAATCACATACCACTGAAAGAAAGTTCAGTGTGTGTGTGTGTAGTTTTGAAATTTCATTTGGGTGCAGTATTGCATGACCAGGCAATTGTCAGTTAAAGTAACGCAGTGCTGTAATGCAAAAAAATGGCCTGGTCATGAAGGGGGTGTAAATCCCTAGGAGGGCAAGTGGTTAAGAACCACTGGTGTTTATGTACTAAAGCTGGAGTGTGCAAAATCAGGCTCCCTTCTGCACAGAAACCAATTAGATTCTAACTCCGACTTGTTCAGTGAAGCTTTGGCAATAAAATCTGGAAGCCCAAGTAAACAAACCCCATTGTGACTGAATATTGGACCCGTAATCAGATTCTATGGACCCAGTTTTCTGCCAATTATATCAAATTAAAATTAACAGGCATATGCCTTTAATGATACCAACATTGCTGCGATGCTCTAAACTTCATCAAGTCATTAGAGCAGCCATGCTATGAAGTTCTGCAGCAGTTCAAGTTCTAGCTCCACTGAAATCTACAGCAGCAGAAGTAAAGTGTGTGATGAGAGACTTTCAGAACAGGTTTACAATGGGCCTACAGTGGCAAGTATAGACAAATATGCAAGGTGCCCTAATCATATTGCACCCAAATTGTTTTTAAGGGAGAACTATGGCAAATGTTAATATACTCCAACAGTATACAACAGGATAAGCAAACTGTAGCAGGATCCTCACTAAGGAATAAAGATCCTGTTTCCACTACAAGGTTTTTCAAATATTTACACAAATGTACCACATCGAGCTGCTCTATTCCAATTACTGCTTACATCAAACCATGGTACAAATCACAACAGTCGATCATGTTAAAAATGTATGAAATGCCAAAACACCATGACGGTTGGAACTTGGGTTTAGTTCAAATTAAATTAGCAAGAACCTTAAATCTGACGCTCACAGTTTTCCATTTCTAGGCATTGTTTAACACATTTTTCAACGTGCCTTTATATCGTTTTCAAGAGTCAGTCATGCATTTTTCTTGACAGCCAAAAAAAAAAAAAAACCCAAAAAAACCCCCACTATTTTAGGTTTGATACCAGGGGCTGAAAACACATGAAAATGCATCATGCATGCATTTTCAGGTGTTACTATTAATTTGAATGGGCTAAAAAATGCATGAAAAGGAGACAAAAAAATTATTATTATTAATAATAATAATACAACACACCTTATTAGTTTTCAAACAAATGTGAAAAGACCATCTATACCACTGTTTTTGAGGACGCATGCATTTTAGCACATTTCACCATGCATGTTAGAAAGCAAATGTGTGAACAGGGCCTAATTGAAGCAAAAAGCAGTACATCTACCAAGCAGGGTATTACCTCCGGTCTAAGGATTTATACACCTGAGCATTGCACCCCCTCCATCTGAATTATGTGCCTGTGTTTACCTGGGTTCTATAAAAGCTCTCAGATACAGCTTGAACACTTACATTTCTTTGTATCTAGCAGAATATGTGTAGACATCTGTACATACCCACAGAAAGCAATTTTCTCAATGGGAACATACGTACGCTGAATATGCCTATATCAGACAGCTGTTCGCTATAGAGAGGAGCAGACTGAGGTAAACACATCAAGTAATACTAGGGACTACCTGACACCCCAGTGTTTCCTAAAGTCTGGCAGGAGTAACTTGTGGTAGATAAAAACAGGGAATACATGTGTTTATTTGCAGGAATACCCTGTGGGAGAATATTATTCATTACAATTATTGCTTCTCATGGCAAAACAGAGCAAATTAATTTTTCTTGAGGATCAAACATGTCTTGTCAATTTGCTTTGCCGACCATGTTGGAGTGCAATGCATTCTGAATGACTGTCTTAAAGAGAAATACAACCTAAAATGAACACAAAGGACAGCAGTTACCAATCATATTTAAGGGGCAAGAATGTGTGCCAACAACTGCAAGACAGTTGGTATAGGCCAGCGGGTATTGCATGACTTCATGGCAGGATGTGTTTGGATACTAAAAAAGGTTTTGATGTCAGAGAACTGAGCAGCAGGAAAAATACTCTTCCAAAAAAAAAAAAAAGTCCAGAAAAAAACCCCTCCAACCTAAATAAATCCAAATTTAGCATGTCTGTCCCTGTATCAAATACACGCATCTATGCCTTCATTTCTACAGCTCGCATATTGGGAGTGGAAAGGCGAAATTAATTCTTTTATATGTTATTCAGTTGTAGAAAGGTTAAAGTGATAGTGAACTCTCAATCTTGATTTTTACCTACAGGTAAGATTATAAAGCTTACCTGTAGGTAAAATGAATATCTCCTAAACAATCATGGTTTAGAAGATTTTCTAGGGAGCAGCAGTCAGTGACATCACCGGCGCAAGCGCTCTGAAGGAACAGGATACCCATGCTGATCCTTCAGAGCTCTGTGCCGTGGCCGTAACTCCCGAACGCACACAAGCGAGTGGCGTCATTTCAGCTCAGCCATTCAAACAACCGCAGACTGCGAACCTAAAAAGACCAGGTGAAGATGGAAGCTTCTGTAGGGGGTGACAGCATTCTGCTGGAGGGCTTCGTTCTTGCACAAGTCTTTCATTATGTTCTAGTATCCAATGCATACTAGCACATTATGCTTTTACCTTGCAAGGTTTTTTAAACCTGTACTGACACTTTAAGAAGCTTTAGAATAGAACACTTGTGCTCTCCTGTGACCCAAAATCAGCCTACAACAGGCTAAAGCCTGCTATCAGCTGATGTCACCGAGCTGCTCCACACTCTGGAAGGATCCCAACCATATTGTCAGGACCTACCCAGCTGCCTGATTGACAGGCATGGATAAGATCAGAAGCCAGCTGCACCCACCCCCTCTCCAGCCTGGTGCTTCAGTGAGCACAGAAGGAGCAGAGCAGAGAGCGGTGACTAAATCACTGCTCTCCGCCCCAAGAAGATCGAGAACTGAGTGGTCAGTGGTCATGTGATCACTCGGTTCTCGGTCTTAGAGGTAGAAGGGCTTCAACAACTATTTTTGTTTTTTTTTATAGTAACCCATACATCTCCTTTAAAAATTATTCTGTTTTATACTCAGTCCCAAGGATAAAATATGGTAATTTAATTCCAGTACTACGGACTACATTAAAATATTACTGCTCAGAAACAGACTTAGGGAAGGTTACCAAGAATAAGTATTATACATCAGTTTCCAGATTTTGATGGGGCTTTGGGTAGTAAGACTTTGAAAAGAAAGGAACTTTGAAGGACAATGATCCAATTATAGAGATACATTTTCAGTGGTCTAGTTCCGTGAATAAAGTGCTGTATTTACCTTGATTTTATGTATTTCTTGCGTATTTATTATGTGTATGTAGATTGATAGAAAATCTCAGTTTACCCTCAGTGGGTGATAGATATTATTTTGCAAAATTTTAGCCCCATCTGTTAGAAATGTTATTCCAGGACAGAGTCCCATGGGTGTGTAACACTTCTATAAAATATGTATATTACAAAATAATACTAAAAAAAAAAAAAAAAAAAAAAGAAGATATTAACCGCTTTTCTGCCGCCCTATAGCAGATATACTGCTACAAGGCGGCAGGGGTGCGCAAAATCATATATATGTGATTTTGCATTTCCGGGTAGAGGTGCACGCGCGCGCCCTACCTGTGCCGCTATTCGCGGCCTCAGCTGTCAATCACCGGGTCCCGCCCAGTGATTACTCGCCAACACCCGGTAATCACCAAGTATTACCGTCGGAGGGAGAGAACTGTACGTAAACAATACAGTTTTCTCCCTTGTCAGCTCCTGCACACTGCTTTGTATGGCTCTACATAGCAGAGCCATACAAAGCAGTATGCTTACAGTTGAAAGCACTAACACAGCACACAGTAAAACAGCACACAGCTAACCCTTTGATCACCCCAGATGTTAACCCCTTCCTGCCCAGTGCCATTAGTACAGTGTCAGCGATTTTTATTAGCACTGATCACTGTATTGGTGTCACTGGGGATGTCAGTGACACCAAGTCAGTTCCCCCCAGTGTAAGAATGCCCACTGCAGTCCTGCTATAAGTCGCTGATCTCTGCCATTACTAGTAAAAAAATGTTTTTTTAAAAATCCCAGTATATATACCCCCATTTGTAAACGCCATAACTTTCACGTGAACCAATTAATTTACACGTATTGGGAATTTTTGTTTTTTTAAGCAAAGACATGCACCAGAATACATTTTGGCCTAAATTTATGACGAAATTTGATTTTTCTACTGGACACATTTAACAGCAAAAAGTCAAAAAATAGTTTTTTTCTAAAAATGTTGGTCTTTATTTATTTTATATATAGTGCAAACCCCCCCCCCCCCCAAAAAAAAAAAAAAAAAAAAAAAAAAAAAAAAAAAAAAAAAAAAAAAACGCACAGGCGATCATATACCATTCGTGGAGGGTAAAAAAAATAAAATGTAAATTTAATTTGGGTGCAGCGCTGCATGACCGTGCAATTGTCAATTAAAATATTGCAGCACCATAATGGTATAGGTTAATTTATATTGCATTTTACAGGTAACTCAAAACCATTCACACCAATTCTAGCTCCTTTGGAAGCTTAGAGTCCAATGTACCTTGTAGAGTAATGCATAAAGTCAGTACAGACAATTTTGGTAGAAACCAGCAAAGTCATCCAAAGATGGATCAAAACGCGGTCAGTTCAGCAGAAACGGACTGAGATTCCATCCATCTATTGGAAGGCTGATTGACTTCAGTACAAAAAACGCTGTGATTTTTTTTTTTTCTTTATAGCCACCAGTAGTGATCCCTGTGTTCTGCTGGCAAGGAAGCAGAACACAACAGCGCTGTGGGAGTGATTCCCCCCACAATAGGCTACCCCACTGGCAGAACACAATAGCACTGGAGGAGTGATGGAAGGGGGAACCAAGCAATTTGCTTTCCTTCCACCCGTGGTGGAAGGAAAGAAAATTGTATAATCTATGGTTTGCTTAAATTAGATGCTTTTGATCAGAAATTAAAAACACCCAAATAAACTTCTACAAAACAGAAGAATATACAAACTTCCAGGACTCTTTACCCAAATCCCTCAAGATATCAAGCACAGAATTCTTACCCATATGAGAAAGCTTCATTTGTTTTCCACCTTGATATTACAGAAGCAGCTAGGCCAGCTAACAATGCTGTACAGTCGAAAAACATATGGAAGGAATCCGAGATCAAGCCTAAGCTGAAAGGCACAAAAAAGAAACTGGTTATTACTAAAATGTCACAGACAGCTCTCTGAATAGGACTTACAGGAATGTATAATCTTTTCAAAAGTTTTTTTTTTGCCAATTACACAGACTATGCTTCTCACCTTATAAGCACTAAATAATAGCTCTTCTTTTCTCATTGCAAATCTATAGGTTTGCCAGCCCAATAAAGACAATGTACCCCTGTGTGGCAATCCCTTATCTCAACAAAAGGACTACATGACTGCAGTGGCTTTAACACATTAATAAAACACGGAAGATGAAGAATGTAAAAAAAAATCGAAAGTTGACCACTACTCTTAGATATACCCTGAAATAACCTGAAATACTTTATTACTACTACAGGTATTTATATAGAGCTGACCATTTATGCAGTGCTTCACATACTGTACATTCACAACAGTCCTAGCCCTCAAGAAGCTCACAATCTAAAGCAATTTTTCTCAACCAGGGTTCCATCGAGCCTTTGGGTTCCTCTAAAGGTTGCTAGGAGTTCCTTGAGCAATTTATGTCTCTAAGATAATTAACAACTGACAAAAATTATCTTTTTAGCTATCGTCAAAAGGAAATGTTCCCAATGGCCACAAATTAAGGAGCATTCTCCCCAGTGACCAGCATGCTAAGGTATTGTGATCTGTAGATATAGTAATTACTAGCTGTAAAGAGCTTTGCATCATCATTCTTCCAGCATGTTGCTGAAAAAGGTCCCCATCTCTGACCAGTGATGCATTCCTCTGCTGAAGCAGTGACACAGATTCAGGATTGACTTTGTGATTCATTAAGGCTAGTCATACACGGGAAGAGATCCACCTATGCTTGCTGATCTCTTGTCACCCTAACAGTCCTGAAGTCAACTGCAAACTAAAATTCTTTCCAATTACTACTTTCCAAAACACAAGCTTCAAGCGTATTAGCCATCCGGCATGCTACCAGATTCCTATATTCAATGCGAACGGTTTTTCTTTTTTTTGCATCTGAATTATTGCCTCTAATGTTGTATCCTATACTTTACCAAAATATCTCAAGATAACAACCTTTTTATATATGATGGTTAATACGTGTTTTGAAGAAAAAACAAAAAAACATCAATGATGAAATTCCCAAACAGCTAACAGGAAGCTTATAGCACTAAAACATTAGGTCTCCATTAAGCAGGGTGGATAAAAACCAATGATTTTAAAAAAATCAGATTTTTTTTTTTTTTATTTAAATCAGATTTTTTAAATAAAATGCTTTTTGAGGATAATATATTACCATCCAAAGGTTATTCCATCATGAAATAAAGATTCGTTTTTTAATTATGTAGAATAAGGCTGTATATGTTTAATTTTTTTGGTAAATAAATTCCATTAATCCATTCACAATGTCATGCTCTTCCAGAGGTTTTTGTAAGATTATTAGGCAGTTTCTCTGCCTACAAGATATTATCACAGATGCTTGGTTTACTTTTGCAGTTCTCAAAACTGAATTTGACTCAGCGGAGATCACATGCCTCTTCTTCACAGCAACAATGTTATAACATGAACAGAGTTAAGAAAAAGACCTTAATCCTAACTTCTACAAACCTATGAATACAGAATCAACCCCTTCAGTGCTAAATTTCAAGTTCAGTGAATAGAATAGAAACAATATTTTTCTGATTGTTTGGAGTGGAATAGATCTGCACAAGAAGAAAGTAAAACTAAGTGTGAGGAGGAAGGGGCTGACAGTCTAAATTTCCTAAAATATATATATTTTGTTTAGCCAAATTAGTTAACAAACATGGATGTTTAAGCAAATAACATATGCTGGAATGTTATTGTTTCAGTTGAATAAATCTATTTAAATTGTTATTATTAAGGTAATGATTATTTTTCTCCTTCCTAAGTACAACAGAAAAGTTGTCCAAATATGAATGATTAACCTATTAAACTGGGGATAAAAAAACGAATATGAAAAGTTGTTATTCTAAAAATCTTCATCTACTTGCATATTAAAGTTATACCAGCAAGAATTAGTCTTTACGTAGAAAACTATGATTTAAATCAAGCCTTACTGACTAGTGATTTAAATCAGTTTGATTTAAATCAAATCCACCCTGCCATTAAGTAACATCATTTTTTAAATTACTACTATCATAATATAGGATTTGTGTAGCACCGATATTAGTTACAAAATAGTACAATACAAGACAAGAGGGTTAGGAGGGCCTTGCTAATGTAAACTTACAATCTAAAAGAGAGTGATACCGAAGGGAATGGCTGTGAGGGGATGAGCTGGTGAGGAAAGTTAATATCTCCTCAAACAAAACACACATATGCCTAGTACACTGAAAAAAATAACTTCAAAGCAACACCCCCCACTGTAGGACTAACCTTGCCTAAGCTAGAGTTACAAAGATAAAGTCACACACCTTTATCAGTATTTGAGCAGGTGCTTTTTGTTATTTTCTTTAACTTACATATTGACCGCAATGAATCACTTACAGTATATGTGTTCCTTTATAGAGTGCCTTTAAAGTGTGTCTAACGTCCCCAGATGTCTCTGATTTGGTGTCACTATTTTTTAGATGCTAAAGCTTAATGTGCCAGTAAAAGTAAATATATCACACATGTATCGAACTGCAAGTATGACTAAACCAGTGTAGTAATGGTCTCCTAGTATTTGCAGTGTAATGTTTCTATATAAAGCAGCTAGCCAATTTGTATTTTTTTTTTTTTTATAAAAATTGTATTTATTTTTTTTAATCGAGCCCTTCAGCAGCCCTGATCTCTGTAGAGAGACAAAGGACACAATGGGGTTGACTTACTAAAACCGGAGAGTGCAAAATCTGGAACAGCAACCAATCAGCTTCCAGGTTTTATTCTCAAAGCTTAATTGAACAAGCTGAGGTATGGGGCCGATTGGCAACCATGCACAGCGGAACCAGATTTTGCACTCTCTGGTTTCAGCAAATCAACCCCAATGACTAGGTCACATGACAAACTCAAGTAATGCATGCATACACTGATACCTGTTGCTCCATATTCCATAAAAGAGTTCCACAAAAGCAAAGGATAAATTCAAGCAAAGAAAGCAGAATAAATTTCTTGATGTAGAATCGGAGAAGATTGACCTGCAAAAAGATACAGATAAAGAAATGGGTCATCCAACTACTTCAAAAACACATTACTATAAAACCTGTCTTGACTAATAAAACTTTTTCCTGACAGGTCTTTAAGATCCTGCTACACAGCATGTTTACATAAAGATGAGTCAATGTAACTAAAGGATTATTTCCTGCCAATGTGGTTAGAAAAGAAGGTCTATATCAAAGACTCGTTCAGGAAAACTGCACAGCCTACATCCATATACATACAGTGTTTGGCACAAAACAATGTGTTTGGTGGAATACAACTAGAACTGTTGTTTCAGAAAGATTATGCATCCTATCAGAAGCCTTAAACCACTAATGAATGGAAAAGAGACTGTTGTATGTTAAAGATGAATTCCATGTATCAGTTTTAGGTTACCAAACCTGGTTCTCTGGGGCTCCAAAAAAATAAATAAATAATAATTTATATTATATATATATATTTTTTTTCTTTAACTATTATTTATTTTTGTAGTGCTCCTGAATTGGAACACCTGCTGAGCCCAAGGTGAGATGTTAAGCTTTATTTTTCTATATATTCTAAAGGATGAAACACAATATGGTAAAAACACCCAAAAAGCCCAAGACCAAAAACACCCTAAAGAGTTATGGTAGGGAGCTCTCACTGTTGGGAGTATCCAACACCTATATGAGATTGGCTGACACATTAAACCAAACTCCACCTAGAAGCAACATAGCACTTTTGGGTGGACTGACACTTAATTCATTTGCATGGTGCCTTAACATTACATTAGATAAGGCCATTAATGTCAAAGTCAGGGCGCCGGGCAGGTAGTGTTTTCTTTTTTACCTTTAGCCCTGCTGCGGGCAAGCAGCATGGCTCATTTGTGCTCCAAAGAGCCCATATTGTTGCCAACCTCCGCATCCCCCCCTTCACTGTCTCAGGGCCCCCACTTGCCCATCTGCGGGCCCAGGACCAGTCAGTGGCTGCCAGCAGGTATAGGGGAGGGAGGAAAGCAGACAGATCCGGTTCCCTCCCCTTCTTGTCCGGGTCCCCATTGACAGATTCCTGGCCATCGAGGCCAGGAAAGAATGTAATGCAGTGCGATGTGCACTGCATTACATTCAGTGTAGTACAGGGGAGACATGCAGGGTCTTTACGAGCCTGGACATCTCAAAAAAGAGAACATGTCACCAAAATTCATCACATAGGGGACATTTTGTCCCCTATGCGATATATAGAAAAGAAAAAAAAAGTTTTTTTCTAATTTTTGAAAAATGAAAGTTATACCCAAGCATATGACCCCCCCAAAAAAAATGTTTCAAGGCCCCCCACCCCCACATATGTACGCATGTACAAGCATAAACGTGCTGGGGCACCTACGCATGAAAAACGATGATTGCGATACAGATTACATATCGCCTTGCACGCCAGAATGAGAGCAATAATTCTAGCACCAGACCTCCTCCATAACGCTAAAATGATGACCTATAAGGGGCTTGAAAAGCGTCACCTACAGAAAATATAGTTACTAAAGCTTGTTGCCATTGCAAAAGCTGGCGCAAATTTAAAGTTTGACATGTTGGGTATCTATTTACTTGATGCAATCTCATATTTTACAAAAAAAAAAAAATGGATAATGTATTGCTTTTTGTGCCCTAAAATTAACTTAAGTGTATTTCTTACTGAAATTTTGCATTTCCTAGACCTTTGTGATAATATCGTGTGACATAAATTGGAACCACCACTATTTTATTCTCTAAGGCCTCTGATTTCAGAAAATATATAATGTTTAAGGGTTTTATGTAATCTTCAGGGCTTAAATTATTTTTTAAACGTGCAAAAAAAGCAAAAATGGCTCTGGCAGCGAAAGGGATAAAGGATAAGCCAGACACTCCCCTTTCCTGACGAGCACCCAATTGGTGCTCATTACACTACAAGGCCTGTCCCCTTCCTGCTAGTCACCGGTGCGGTGCTGGAGGCAGGCAGGGAGGGAAGGAGATAAACAGCGCAATGTTAAAAACATTAAACGTTTAAGTCGCCATAAAGCCCCTTTTGATTTTAAAAGCCCCAGACATTACTTAAAGCAGATTTAAATAAGATTTTGGTTTTAGAAGGACAAGTAGATTGTCATGAGGGACAAGTAGATTAGGGTCCCCGATTTAGTCCCTGGACAAGTAGTTTTTTTTTCAAAAATTTCCACACCTCTGGAAGGTCTTGAGAGAGCTCTTTGCTTTTACCCATCATGAGATGTTTCTTGTGCGACACCTTGCTAAAGAGACACCGGTTTATAGGACATCAGTTGAGACTGAACCAGCTGATATTAATTTGCACTGACAAGGGGCAGGATTGCTTTCTAATTACTGTTAGATTCAGCTGGTGTCTTGGCTTTCCATGCCTTTTTGCACCTCCCTTTCTTTGTGTGTTCAATACTTTTTCCGATGGCATTCCATGTTATTATACATAACTTAATTTCTGAACTTGTTTTGGTTTCTTTATATGGATGGATTGCATGGGTTGGTACTGACATGTGGTGAAAATTTCATGTCAATAGCACTTTTAGAACTATATTTACTGAGAAAAATGGTGACATGGTCAATATTTATTTTACCCGCTGTATACTCAGAGATGATGCTATCATGTAAATCATGTGCCTGGGCAGTTTTTGGCTGTTTACAATACAGAGACTCATTTCAGCTTGTCACTGAGGGGTTATTTACTAAAATTGGAGAGTGCAAATTCTGGTGCAGCTCTGCAGATAAACCAATCAGCTTCCAGTTATTTTCTCAAAGCTTAATTGAACAAGCTGAAGTTAGAAGCCAATTGGCTACCATGGACAGTTGTAGCAGATTCTACATTCTCCAGTTTTAGTAAATCAACCCCAGTATGATCACAGGGGGAGGGGAGACTTTGGAAATGCTTTTTTCCTGCCTGCAGCAGACTGACATCTCAGCCTGGACATATCACTGAAAGGTCCACTTTAAATGCCATCATTCACTAATTTTAGAGCAGCAACAAACAGAAGCTGAATGTGACAGCCAGTGCAGCATGGAAATGATGAGGAACAGGCTTACCATCTGTATCCTCACCAGTATTCTTGGTGTAGGTGACCAGACATGTTAGATGTCCCTCATCCAAGAACATATTTTAGAGAGATTCGATGCCAACCCTGCTACAGTCGAGGGCATCTACCAGGAACCACAGCCGGGACATACCCACTCCACTATGGTATCTACCGGGCACCACAGCTAGGGGGATACCCACACTGCCACAGCCTAGGGCATCTACCGGTACCACATCCAAGGGCATCGCCACAGCCTAGCGCATCTACCGGGCAACACGGCCAGGGAACCCCAACACCGCCAAAGCCTAGGACATCTACCATACACCACAGCCAGGACATCCCCACTCCGACACAGCCCAGGGCATCAACCGGGCATCACAGCTGGGACATCCCCACTTCGCCACAGCCTAGGGCATCTACTGGGCACCACAGCCGGGACATCCCCACTCTGCCACAACCTAGGGTATCAACCGGATACCACAGCTGGGACACATCCCCACTCCGCCACAGCCTACGGTATCTACCAGATACCAAAGCCGGAACATCCCTACTCCACCACAGCCCAGGACATCGACCGGGCATCACAGCCGGAACATCCCTACTCCACCACAGCCCAGGGCATCGACCGGGCATCACAGCCGGAACATCCCTACTCCACCACAGCCCAGGGCATCGACCGGGCATCACAGCCGGAACATCCCTACTCCACCACAGCCTAGGGCATCTACCGGGCATCACAGCTGGGACATCCCCACTCCGCCACAACCTAGGGTATCAACCGGATACCACAGCTGGGACATCCCCACGCCGCCACAGCCTACGGCATCTACCGGATACCAAACCCGGAACATCCCTACTCCACCACAGCCTAGGGCATCTACTGGGAACACAGCCAGGACATCCCCACTCTGCCACAACCTAGGGTATCTACTGGGTACCACAGAGGGACATCCCTACTCCACCACAGCCTAGGGCATATACTGGGACCCAAGCCAGGACATCCCCATTCCGCCACAGCCTAGAGTATCTACCGGGTACCACAGCCGGGACATCCCTACTCGACCGCAGCCAGGACATCTACCGGGTACAACAGCCGGGACATCCCTACTCGACCGCAGCCAGGACATCTACCGGGTACAACAGCCGGGACATCCCTACTCGACCGCAGCCAGGACATCTACCGGGTACAACAGCCGGGACATCCCTACTCGACCGCAGCCAGGACATCTACCGGGTACAACAGCCGGGACATCCCTACTCGACCGCAGCCAGGACATCTACCGGGTACAACAGCCGGGACATCCCTACTCGACCGCAGCCAGGACATCTACCGGGTACAACAGCCGGGACATCCCTACTCGACCGCAGCCAGGACATCTACCGGGTACAACAGCCGGGACATCCCTACTCGACCGCAGCCAGAACATCTACCGGGTACAACAGCCGGGACATCCCTACTCGACCGCAGCCAGGACATCTACCGGGTACAACAGCCGGGACATCCCTACTCGACCGCAGCCAGGACATCTACCGGGTACCACAGCCGGGACATCCCTACTCCACCACAGCCAGGACATCTACTGGGTACCACAGCCAGGACATCCCTACTCTACTGCAACCTAGGAGATCTACTGGATACCACAGGTGGGACATCCCTACTCCACCACAGCCTAGGACATCTACTGGGCACCACAACCAGGACATTCCCACTTTGAAATGACCTACAGCATCTACCAGGGACCACAGCTGGGACATCCATGGAGCATCATTGGCTACACACCTATGAACTACTGTACCCGTAAAGGCAGAAGTGGCAAATCCAGACCCCCCCCCCCCCCCGGTGTGATGTCTCCTATAGACGTGGGAGGTCTTGTACACATTCAGTAGGTGTAGATCTATGGCAGGTTATAGGCAGTCTCCCCCATCCCCGGACATAGACATACAGTGTCACGTGTACACCATCCAGCGGCGCCCTCACCTGATCCAGCCGGACACTTTCCTGACGACATTGAATTTGGGCGGCTTGTATTCATCGTCCTTTATAGACAGCGGCAACATCCTGACACCCGGCCACCAAACACTCCCTTTATGAATCCGCCGTCACGTCTCCTAGGCGCTGACCGTCCACTCCCACCCGGCTCTCCCCAGTATTCCAATGGCTCCGCTCCCTCAGAACCCGTGCCGAGCTCCAGCAACCGCTTCCTCTTTCCGGGAAGTAGAGGGTGGCTTGACACGCAAGCACTTAGCAACCAATCACATCAGAGAGCGCCGCACTGACTTCCTGGCAGGAACACCGGAGAGCACAGCGCTGACTGAGCTTTACTTGTGGGGGCGGATAGAGGAGGTGCCAGCATCAAGCATGGCTGCGGCGTGCTCTGCGTCTGTACGTCTTGGCGCACGTAAGAACTGAAGAGAAGAACAGTGCAGTGGAAGTAGGTTAGTAAGCCGAGTCTGTGGATTTGTGTGAGGTTCAGTGAGGCGCCACTTCTTATACATATACTAGAATTGGGTGTAAATCTAATGAACTGAATACATTCGCCCACAAGAGTGGGACGGCCTGCACCAGTTGTAACCTGAGTCCTGCAGAGTATTGTGGGGAAGTCAGGTAAGTGCAGCCACCTACCTCTGTCAGAGCTGATTGCATGATATTACCAGAAGAAAGGAAGAACTTCACTGTTGTCTGCAACAGGACATGATTACAGGGGAAGTAGAAATGGAGAGGTGTGTAGTGCCACCCCTAAAGGAGCCGCCTGGTAACTTTGGGTTCTCTGTTCTGTGCCTCCACTCCAAGAACAACCTCAGCCCCTCAGACACACCTGGTTGAGTAAAAACCATTACAGGCACAAGTAAAGGAATATACATTTAACCACTTGCCCTCCAGAGGATTTACCCCCTTCCTGACCAAGGCATGTTTTTCAATAGGGCGCTGCGTTACTTTAACTGACTATTGCGCGGTCATGCAATGCTGCACCCAAATGAAATTTGTCTTTTTTTCCCACAAATAGAGCTTTCTTTCGGTGGTATTTGATCGCCTGTGTGTTTTTTATTTTTTGTGCTATGAAAAAATTTTTCTTATTTCTTTTGAGAAATAAAAACAATATTTTTGACTTTTTTGCTATTAAATATATTGAGTAAAAAAAAAAATGAAAAAATCAAATTTCCTCATAAATGTAGGCCAAAATGTATTCTGCTACATGTCTGCTGAAAAAAAAAAAAAATCCCAATGCATATTAATTAGTTTACATGAAAGTTCTAGCGTTTACAAATGGTGGTGTATATACTGGAATTTTTATTTTTTTACCAGTAATGGCAGCAATCAGCAACTTATTGTGGGACTGCGGCAGGCATTCTGACACTGCGGGCAACTAACTTGGTGTCACTGCCATCCCCGGTGACACCAATACAGTGATCAGTGCTAATAAAAAGTACGGGGGGGGGGGGCGGGGAGGATCAGCTGCACCCACTACAGATGTACTCTGTATAAATACTGAGAGGTGGATTCATTAACCACTTGCCCGCCAGAGAATCCTCCCCCCGGCCATTTTTTGCAATATGACGCTGCGTTATTTTAACTGACAATTGCGCAGTCATGCAACACTGCGCCCATATGAAATTTAAGTCCTTTTTTTTTCCTGCTTGATCTGCAAAAATAAGTTGCAATTGACTAGTTTTCTTCCTTTTTTCTTTTTTAAGTGTTTCTTAAAGCCAGAAGGTTGGAATGTTAAATGAAAATAGCTTTGAGGCATTTCTGTGATGATTTTTTTTTTTTTTTTTTTTTTTCTCTACACAAATATTGAATGAACATTTTTAAAGAGTGGTGATTCCATACTTTTTGCCAGGGGTTGTATGTATGGCATGTTCTGTCTTGAGTTTTTCAAGTACAGTATGGAAACTTGCTGCCTCAACCAGATCCACAGGCAGTGTCAACTCGCCAAGAAGACTGAGAAGTAGAATCAAATGTAGTGTATTACAGACAGACGTTTTCAAAACGATGTTTCAGGGTGTAACATGCTATGAATAGACTGGTCCCCGCTCCCCCCGCTTTGACAACTAGCGGGGGATCTTCTCCCCACCCCACTAACTGTCAAAAAATAAAAATGGACATGCAGGGCTCTGGCTGCCTGGCCGCGTTACTCCTCTGTTAATGGGAAACTTCTTGAAGGTGAAAATAATATTTCTGTGTGAAGCTCAGTATTTTAAAGTTCTCTTACTTAGGGTGGGAAAAAATGAAACTATAGTGAGCATGGAGAGGCTGGGAGTGTCTAGCTAGGACTAAATTAACTAAAATATAAACAGAAGGTGGGCACACATGAATATATCAAAACAAATGAATAAAAAAAAAAAAACAGGCTGCTGTGGCAACACAAGCCACATTTTTGCTTCCCTCTGATATACCTTTAAGCCAGCTTGCACAGTGTTTTTGCACCCTGAAATGCAAAGAGCCTATTTTTCTGCAGAAATCAGCACTGATCAGGTTTATCATACGTTTTTCTTTCAAAGCCTGTATTTGCTTTGCATTCCATCTGTCCAAAAGTACTCTTTACCAGTTCCTACAGTCTAATGCAATCGCCTCTACATGTGCAAGCCTGGCTTTAAAGCCGAACTCCAGGACTTCAGGCACTGGCATACTAGGAGTCCTACAAGATACATGCCATCTCCTGGACTTATTTCTTTAGTTTGCTGTACATCTGACAGTTTTCCGGTGGCCTGGGAGTATACAGCATCTCTGCCCACCATTTCCTTCTGCTATTTATTTACAGAAGCCTTTGTATTTTGTAAATGAGTTCATATAATAAAAAGTGCTCTCTGATTGGTCAGGAGGAGGAAAGGGGCTGGTACAGTGGCTGCATGCAACTCTGCAGAAGCTGAGACCTGAAGGTCCAGTGTCTGAGTGCTGGAAGTGTAGCGATCGCTATATTCTCGGTGCTCAGTAAAAATGTCACTTGTAAATTAAAGAGAGAAGTCCATGAAGTGGCATGCACCTTGTTGCCCCTTAACCGATAGGTCAGCACAAAGTGTGTGAATTCCTGAAGTTTAGTTTTAAATGAAACCAAGTGTTACTACACTGCATGCATACACACTTACAGACAGTACTAGAAGTCTACAGCCACAGGCCACTACACTGCTTCTCTGTCCATATAGCTGTTTGAGCACGTGCTGTCCAAGAGCCTAATTCCCTGTGATGTGCTTAAAGGGGTAGTAAACTGTCAGAAAAAATTATCCTGCAAAATAATAGAATGTGCTAGTGTGCATCTCATACTAGTGCATTATGAAAGACTTCCCTTAGAAGCAGCACGCTATCACCTCTGACAGGGCTGCCATCTGCACCCGGCCGCAGCACAGAGCTCTGAAGGAACAGCATGGGTACAACGTTCCTTTAGAGCGCATACGCCAGTGATGTCATCGGCTGCAAGGACACTGAATATCTCCTAAATGGTGCATGTTTAGGAGATGTTCCTTGTATCTACCGGTAGGATTTATTATACATGGGTACTATTATTTATGGGTACAGGTGCCCAGTGAGAGTTTACTTCTGCTTTAATGTTGAGCTTCTCTACCTGGAATTTTGGGGAAAAGGCACAGAGGGCTCTGGAGTCGGTGCCAGTGAACAGTTAAAAATGGGCAAAAGTAATCGGTATACTGTGGAAATTTTTCGCTCCTTGAAGTGCTATTTAACTCAAAAGCAAACATTTAATATAATTAATATACAGGATTTATATAGCGCCAACAGTTTGCGCAGAACTTTACAATATAAGGGAGACAGTACAATTACAATACATTTCAGTACAGAAGTGCCCCAATCTTCTTGTCCCTCATGACAATCTACTTGTCCTGATAAAAACAAAATAATTTTAAGCAAAACTGTATTTAAATCTGAGGTGCTTTAAGTAATGTCTGGGGCTTTTAAAAATAAAAGGGGCTTTATGGCGACTTAAAGGTTTAATATCTTTAACATTGCGCTGTTTATCTCCTCCTCCCCTCCCTGCCTGTCTCCAGCACTGCACTCGGGGACTAGCAGGGAGGGGAGAGACCTTGTAGTGTAATGAGCACCGATTGTCTGCTCCTCAGGAAAGGGGAGTGTCAGGCTTATCCTTTATCCCTTTTGCTGCCAGAGCCATTTTTGCGTTTTTTGCACACGTTTTAAAAAATCATTTCAGGCCTGAAGATTACACAAAACTCCAAAACATTATACATTTTCTGAAAGCAGAGACCCTAGAGAATAAAATAGTGGTAGTTCCAATTTTTTATGTCACACGATATTATCACAAAGTTCTAGGAAATGCAAAAGTTTTGTAAAAAATACACTTGTTAATTTTTAGGGCACAAAAAGCAATACATTATCTAATTTTTTTATAAAATATAAAAGACGAGGTTGCATTGAGTAAATAGATATCCAACATGTCAAACCTTAAATTTGCATGCACTCATGAAACGGCAACAAACTTTAGTACCCTATATTTTCGAAAGGTGACACTTTTAAAGCCTCTTATAGGTCATCAGCTTACCATTATGGAGGAGGTCTGGTGCTGGAATTATTGCTTTCATTCTTGCGTGTGTGGCGATCTGTAACGTGTATTGCAATCATCGCCTTCATGTGTAGGCACCCCAGCGCAGGCTTTTACGTTTGTGCGTGTGTACATATGTGGGGGGCCTTGAAAAACATTTTTATGGGGGGGGGGGGGGGGGGTATATGTTTGGGTGTAACTTACATATTATTTTTTTTTTTTTTTTTTTTTTTTAACATTTAAAAAAAATTTTTTTTGTTACTTGCACTTTTTTTTTTTTAATCACATAGGGGACAAAAAATCCCCTTGTGATGATTTCTTGGTGACAGGTTCTCTTTTTTGAGACATCCAGGGTCTAAAAGACCCTGCATGTCTCCCCTATGCTCCACTGAATGTAATACAGGGCACATCGCAGTGCATTACATTTTTTCCCAGCCTTGATGGCCGGGATTCTGTCAACAGGGACCCACATCACTTCCAGGTCAGGACAAGAAAGGGAGGAGAGCTTATGTGTCCACTCTCTCCTCCCTCCTGTATACTCTCATCCTGACA